TTTGGGATATCGAGGCTGGGCTCTCCTGCCCTTCTCCTTTATATGTAGGAAGATCTCACATTCTAGGGCTGGTCACACTCCTGGTCCTGGTCAGCCAGCAAATCCAAATTCCTGGACAAGCCTGACCATGCATTCAGTGTTCTGAAACCCATCCCTGTGTACTGGCACAAGATATATTTGGGATTCATACAGAACAACCATTTTGTTAAAATTATAGCAAAACCATTTTCTTTTTTTTGCTGGTACTGAAACAAAAACAGATGCTGCTACTGATTTCAAGCTTCAGATAGGTGTTATAAATTCAGCTTGGGCCATTCAACTGCTTTTAAATATGCTACTTAGGTGAGATGTCTAGTGTGCATACAGTGTTTCACTTTAGTATGCCAAACCTCTCCCCCATGCCAACATTTTTGATTGTCTGTTAAATGTTGGTTCAATTTCTTTTCTACTCACTTGTTCCTTTATCCCCCTGAGAATACCTTCTGTGCATCATTTTCTACATAAGTGCTTGAGAAGGTCAACTACTAATCCCTCAATTTAGCGTTCGTTTTGGAATTTACCCTGTTTGACCTTTCTGTTACACATGACCCTCCCGTAGTTCCTGCTCCTTCCTTGGTGCTCAGAAGACTATTCTAGATCTGCATTTCTAAGAGCTGGTGATTTACGAGCATGTGGATGGCCACTGGCACCTCGAACTCAGCATCCTGTTGATTCTTGAACACCTCCCTCCTCCCCGCCCCCAGCTCAGCTCCCCTTCTCTCCTCCACTTTCCACATTCTCAGTCATCAAACCTCAGGCTGTCTTTGATGGCTCCAACCTCCTCTCTCCTATAGATCAGCAAGATTCAAATATTGTCATTGCTCACACAACACTCCACTCTAGTTCATAATTTGATGAAGGTCCACAAGTGACACAGCTGAAAACAGAACTGCTCTGGAGAACCAGAGGAGGACAGGCTCCTCTTTCCCGCAGGAGTAGTTGGGAAACTTTGACTCTAGAGTCTATCCATGGAATGTCTTATTTCCAGTCTCACTGGCTGGAAGTCACTGCAGATGCCCAAAGCCCCGGTCAGTGTGCTAGCTCCTGACCCTCCATTCTCTTCCAGCCCAACAGCTCTTGCACACCACTTCTTGAGTTCTGATGGACTTTCAGCCTTGCAGTAGGCACAAGGTTGGCCACCCGCTTAAGACCCATCCTCCCTTCTTCCTTGCTAAGAAAACACACGTCTGTTCAGGTGTGGGCTGCAATGTACTCAGAGAGATGACCCCTTCCCTCAGACCCAGGGATGAACCAAAAATGGTAATTCCATTCCTCTTTCCTGTGATTGGCTTAGGGGAGAAGATGTAAACCATTTATGGCCAATGAGGCTAAGAAAAATGTTAGGACCTTCTGCAAGATTTATCTCCCTGATAAAAAGAGACANTTCCCTCAGACCCAGGGATGAACCAAAAATGGTAATTCCATTCCTCTTTCCTGTGATTGGCTTAGGGGAGAAGATGTAAACCATTTATGGCCGATGAGGCTAAGAAAAATGTTAGGACCTTCTGCAAGATTTATCTCCCTGATAAAAAGAGACATAGGCCCAAGGAGAAGCCCTCACGTTCTGTTCTTGCCTGTGATGTGATTTTGTGAAGATGTGATCACTCTAAGTGCTGGCAATTTTATTGTGACCTTATGAGGGAAGACAAGAGAGGCTGACTTTAGCTCTGGCATCTCTGAGCCACGGAATTGTCATGTGAGATAATAAAAAGTCCTTGTTTAAACAGTTTTATAAATTTTTGGTTCTGTCTTTACAGCTGAAATCATTGTAACTGGTATGTCCATCAACAAAACTTGAGGGTTCCCCAGTACTCGTGTATGAATCAAGTACGAACTCCCTGCCCTAATATTCACTGCCCTCACTTGCATGGCCCTGGCCTAGTGCAGTGTCATTTGGTGTCTCATTAAACATTTACCACACATGCAAGCCAGACCAACACCCAGTCCTCTCTGGACACATGGTGATGCAATCTGCTTCACCTAACCCTCAGGTGTCACAATCCCTACCAAGTCCTTATCTCAACTTCCCTGGACTTCTCTTTGTGAGCTTTTTATGGAACTTCTCCAACCTTGGTGAATTGCAGCTACTCATCTCATGTTTTGTCTTCCTCAATTGCAAGGTCCTTACGAGAAGAGAGTGAGTCTCACCCACCCACATGCCCTGCAGTGCTCAGCACGGTGCCCTGTACATAAGCCACATGCAGTAAATGTTTGCTCAGCTAAAACAAAGCCCTGCATTGATCCAGCTTCTTGCTCCTGAGTCGCAGTATGGGACGAAGGCATTTACATCTCAGAAACAATCTGGCTTCGACTACTGTCAACCTTAACCCAAGAACTGATTAAACATAAAGACTCGTATATGATACTTCCAAACCATAAGGGAAGCTTAATGGAGAAACACAGTTAATCTTTCACGGCAACATCATGAACTCCCTGTGTTTGGGATCTAGCAAAGTGTATCATTAATTCAACTTAACCTATTCACTTTGACAAAATAATATTTATTCAGTGGGGTGACACTTTACCCTGCTTTTACAAGTGGTACTGATTACAATTCTTTTTGAGTTTGCAATATTATAGACTACTTAAACACATTTAGTGTAGAATTCTCTATAGCAGGGATCTTCTTCAAATTGGATCAATTCCATGTCAAGATCCATTTCAGGCATGTTTTGCTGAAAACACAAAGTCCACAGACCAAGTGTTTTTTTCTAAAGAATTGAGATGTGGGCCATCAAAATAATTCACAATCATAACACTATCGTATCTAGAAAAGAGTCACATGCTCATTTCTAATATCCCCCTTTACAACTACTTTTAGCAGAATGCTTTTTAATCAATAACTTAATTTCAGTGATTATTTTAGTTACAGAGGCTTTGCTGAGAACTATCAATTTAATATCATTTAAAAAATTCCAAGTGAAAATACAAATTAGTTGAATAAACATAAGCAAGCCTTGATTTGGTTTGCCTGATTTTCACCAATTAAAATACTTAGTATTAAAATACATACACTTTTTATTTCTTGTCTTTTTAAACACTTGACTGTGAACCTCCTATTTCCTAAGGAAGAGCTTAATTTTTAAAACAAATAAGTTTTAATAAAGACCTCTATACAGAGCAACTTCTATTGTGTCCCCTTTCATTTTAAATTTATTGAAAGTTCTTTTTAGATCTTACACAAAACCCCGTTGAGAAGGAATATTTTGATGTCAAAAAGGTATTCTCAAATGCATTATAAATGGCCTGGAGATTTCCATATCAAACTGGGAACAAAAGTTACTTCTGAAGAGGAGAGTAGGGTTATAACTTTTAAATACTTCTTTATAGATTCATGTATCACTGGTATAATTAAAACTCAATCTATAGGGAATTTTTTAAGTGGATGAGGGCATGAGAGCACTGATCAGCATTGATTCCACTTACACTGGTAGATGTGCAGGAAGGTCTCGCTGAGCTTGTTGGTGAAAAGAGGCTCAGGGAGGTCCCGGAAGAACTGTTTCACCATATCTGCCACATCGTAAGCAGATTGGTCTTCATAGCTGACATTCTCAGGGAAGTTTTCGTTCATTTGACGTAGGGCATGGATTCGAGACTTCACTCCCGATTTGCGAAAAAGACCCACCTGAAACAAACCACAGGGATGTGTCAGCCAGGCTGCCTCTTTCCCTGGACACCTTCTTTCTAAGACAACCCACTGAATATGATGAGAAGACACAGGACCAGGACTGCATGAGCTGGAATTGCATCTCAGTTAGTAAGTTCCGAATTACTTTAGGCAGCAGCTGAACCCTGACTTCTCCTATAAAATGAACATTAGCATAACACCCCATCTCACAGAGCTGTTGTGAAGACTAAGTGAGAAAATTCATGTGAATGTGCTTTTGTGACCTACAAAGTCTTATCACGCTGTAGATGTTATTATTTTGTTCATTTACCCAAGTAGTGATTGCTGGGAGTTGTTAGTGAGCAGAGCAGGCAACATTCCCTGTGTTTATGCTTTCATGGGGGTTTTGAGGAAGTTTGGTCAATGCAAGGTTTGGTGGAAATAATGTGGGTGGGGAATGGGTGGATGGATCCCAGATAAGCAACCAAACCCAGAGCCCCTTTTGGGGAGAGGTTTTTGGGAAAAGTGCTTATGAAACAAAATAATATCATAAGCACTTATTTTAATGTAAGGGTCTTATTTGCTTTTCTTTCTTTGAAATCCTTGGCACTTTATTTATTTTTTAATTAGAATGTATTGATTATACATATTTGTGGGGTACAGAGTTATATTTCAATACATGTATGCAATGTGTGATGATGATCAAATGGGGGTAATTAGCATATTCATCATTACAAAACAATCATTTATTTGTGATGAGGACATTCAATCTCCTCTCTTCTAGTCATCTGATA